TATATATATATATGTGTGTGTGTGTGTGTGTGATTACTGTATATATATGTACAATATATAAGCATTCACTTATTATTTATATAATTTATATACATATATATATATATATATATATAATATATATATATATATATATATATATATATATTTAAATTATTTTAAAATAATATCAATTATATATATATATATATATATATATATATATGATATAAACGAAATTGAATGATATTTATATATATATATATATATATATATATATTATATATATATATATATATATTTTTTATATAAATATATATATATATATATATATATATAAAATGGAATATATACAAAAGGGTTGGACAAAATAATTGGAAAAAAAAAAATTCAAAGAAAATTTATTTAATATGGAGTTAATCCTCCTTTAGCCTCACAGACAGTTTTAATACGTCTAGGAATGGAATCATACAGCTTCCTGACTTCATCCAGAGGAATTTTCAATCATTCTTTCATTAAAACCTTCTCCAGCTCTTTAAGACACGACGGTGGAGAATAGCGGCTCCAAAATGCACCACAAATGTTCAATAATATTGATATCTTGAGATTGGGGAGGCCACTCCATGTGTTCTAGCTCACTTTCATGCTCTTCATACCAATTCTTAACCACTCGAGCGGGATGTATTGGAGCATTATAGTCTTGGAAGATGCAGTCACCATCATGGAATAAAGTCTTGGCCATTAGATGAACATGATCTCCCAAAATGTTCAGGTAATCTTTGCTGTTGATTCTACCATGCAGGGCAACTTGGACTGAGACATTTCCATGATATGGCGACCCAAACTATCACTGATCCACCTCCATTATTCACTGTTGGAAGAAGGCAGTCTTTTTGAAAGCTTTTTGGGCTGCCTCCACACATAAACTCACCCTGAAGTTGGGAAAAAGAAAAACTGGACTTGTTTGAGAATATGACTTATTTCCATTGGTCTGCAGACCAGGCATTCGATGATCTCTGCACCACTTCAACCTCTTTTGAATGTTGCGAGTGGAGAGAAGAGGTTTGACAGCGGCTCTTCCATTATATGCAGCCTTATGGAGCTCACGGTGAACAGTTTTAGTAGAAACTGAACTATTCAGATGGTTATTCAACTAAGCAGTCATTTTGACCACATTTGTTAGAAGTGATTTTTTTTTTGCCACATTGTTTCAATGCACATCAGTCCCTGATGTATGTAAGTTTTCAAGTCCGGCCCGAATTGCAATTACGGTTTAGAGGTCTTGCCCTGTTTCTCGAATTGCATCAGTGTTCTTGATATGGTAGCTCTTGAAAAACCAAACAGTTGATTCAACCTTAGTGATCAGGCAAATTGCCATGCGAGCTCAAACAATTTGCTATTTTTTCGAACTCGGATGATTGTCATGCATTTAGCTTAAATGTTACTAAATTCTAAAAATAAATAAGACAAAGACAGTAAATTAGATAAATAAACGTATTTACAATAGATATAACCTGAATTACGAAGTTTTAGTTAAAGTTCTTAATATAATAGGTCTTTGAAATATGTACTATGTCTTTTTAACTATTCCAATTATTTTTGTCCAACTTTCCAGCTTATTGTATATATATGTATATATATATATATATGTAATTATATTCTACATTCAATATATATATATATATTATAAAATATATATATATATATATATATATATATATATATATACGATATTATGCTATTTTCACACATTATAGGCGAAGAATAAAGTCCGACAATTATTTTTAAGGATTTTTTTATAAATTTAATTCTTTCGATAGAACAAATTTAAGTAAATGCTCTGTTTATAATAAGGAGTATTAACGGGATTTATAGGCCTGAATGAGGGAGAAAATTTTTTGTCATTTTTTTTCTTGCGTCCACCGACAGGAATCGAACCTGTATCTTATACGGAATTGATATCATCTTTGTTTTAACTTAAAGAATTGGGATCCACAGAAGAATTTAAATAAACCAGGAATTATATGTCCAGTGGATGATCAAGTCTGTCTTTCTCTTCGAAAATAAATAATTAACTTGTTTTTTGTTACCCCGGAACTGAATCATCACATCGAATCATTTGAGTATCTTTGATTTTCCAGTATAAAGCGACTTTTTGCATCTTCTTAACAATCCAATGTTCTGTTCATTAAAATAAGTGGACATGCTTTTATATTTTCATTGCGTAGGCCAGCTGGCAAAGCTGGTTGGTTCACTGTGTTGTGCGAGACGATGAGTTTACAGACGAATCTATCTTACATATCTATACGTCTAGGCGTTAATGTAGAATTAGCTGTCACCTATGACCCGGTGCAATTTTTTTTTACAGTAGGTTTTCCTTGATAAGATCCAAAGAAGAACCAGTTGAACAATTCTATAGAACCTGATCTTGTTATTCGCCTTATTTAGGGGGAAGAAAACCACCGTAACAAAATGTGCCTTTTATATAAATACTTTCAATGTAATAATTGTTCGGATGATC